TGTGTGTGTCTTCGCAATGTATGTGCGTAAGTGTCTGCGCTACGTGTCTGTGTTATGTGTGTCTGCCTGCGTGTCTACGATATGTATGTGCGTATGTGTCTGCGCTACGTGTCAGTGCTATGTGTGTGTGTGTGTGTGTGTGTGTCTGCGCTGTGTGTGCGTGAACTCAAACTCATTGCAACTCCACAAAAACTGCATCAAATACTGATTGATTGGTAAAGTTTTTACTGTAGTATTTCTCACAAACCTTACGTGAGATCTGCTTCCTGAGGCAGCCGAGGGCGTGTTGAGGCCATAGACTGTAAAATATATGGACGTAGTCTCCGTGACGTCACCCATAAGTTTCTTAAGAGCGCAAAAGAAGCCACAAGTAGGCGCGGCCAACCGTCGTCATGTTGTTCGCGCGTCATCACACCCACGGCAGGATACCAAACAAGGGCAAAGAGGCGGAGAGTGAGCGGAGCTACAGACACCTGCTGACATTTTGCTTGGACCTGGCTCAGACACACTTTACTTTGGGAGAACGCTTAATACTTTATCACCTGTGACTCGTTTGTATTCTGACCACTTGTGCTTGGTTGTATACTATATCATTATATATTATATATATATATATATATATATATATATATATATATATATATATATATATATATATATATATATATATATACAAACTATATATGTATACTATATCAATAAAGTGTTTATATGACTTTTAAAAATACTGCTGTAATACATTGAGCCACTAAACATTGTTCTTATGACATTTTTCAACAGGAGGAAAACGCAAATTACTTCCAAACACTTAAGATATAGTCTGTGTTAGTTAATGTAAGACTATTGATGAAATCCAGCATAACACTGTATGACAACGCTTCAGATGACTTTTCTAGAGCCTACAGCTAATCAATTCGTCAGATTCTGCAGTGCATTACAGCTCTAAATATAAACAATAAGTGATCTTAAATAAAACAAATACATGTATAGAGATGGTATATGAGTATATAACTTCACTCACATGGGAAACGGAGGCCACGTGAATGGTTTGTGAGCACAGTTAAGTGCACTCAGCATGCCATGCCATCTAATAATTGTAGGAAACAAGTCCAAAAGGCAGTTGACTGTGTAAAGCCACATAAAAACAACACAGAAATATGATAAATATGCTGAGTTCAGTGACTAATCTGCAGGATTCAGCTGATGTAACATGATGGCGACCAACGAGACCTAGCTGTCACTCAAGTGGCCACGCCGTTAATTATGCAAACTTAATATAACTTAATATAAAGGAAACAGATGAGTTATAAAAAAATTCACCCCCCTAAGGGTAATATTAGCTGTATTAACCAAAATCTTTTTTTGTACCAGGCTGTAAACACCTTTTTTTCTGCTGTAAAGTTGGCCATTCTAACAGTGGGCTCAATTGAAATATGCTTTATTTTGTAGCCAGGAGCGGCCAGGACTAGCGGGATTTTGGATGAATTGCAGTTTTAGTTACTTCCGTATTGGCTTCCTGAGGGAGAGCGGGAGGTTGCCGCTTGGTTGAGGCATGTTGCTGACAGGCACGTGGGATCGGTGGGCGGGGATGACTCGCCTTAAAGGCCCAGTGCAAAAAAACAGCAACAACCTTTTCCCAGCTTTAATAGAGACACTTCAAACAGCTATAATAAATACTCTGATGGGTGTTTTGAGCTGGAACTTTACAGACACATTCTGGGGACACAAAAGACTTATAATAAATATAAAAAAGGGGTAACCTATGTGCCCTTTGACTGCAGTTTGGCACTTTCCTTCTGCAACATTACATTCATGCCCTACGCGACAAAAAAGATATTTGATTCAAGGAACTGCTGGAAGCGTGTATTTTTAATGCAATGTTTGATACCGCACAACGAATGAGAGAAATTTCTCAGTTACTTAGATGCACTCAGTAGGTAGCGTCAGAAAGTTGTGTGTGTTATTCCTGTCACAAAATGCGACGAAAATTCTAGACGACAGTAATAGTTTGATTGCGGTGTTTACATGTTTACACTGGGAGAGCCGCATTACCCCGGATCTTTCAGCCTATAATATTGTAGTGATATTAACGTACTATAAACTTTAGTAACTTAGAAATCATTTTGACTAAGGTCCGTCTTTAAACACTGAAAGAGTACTGCTGATTACACAAACTAACTTTGCCATCTGAATAAACAAACAAAGACCACTGATCGCTTGCTTATCGAATCTATAGACAGAACAATCAACACCAACTGGAGCCGTGTCTTTCTAAAAGGAGACAAGCAGCAAATCTGGATTTGATCATTTCTGGATGCGAAAAGCTCTCGGTTAAAAAATGTTTCTTGTACAAAAAAATACAAAAAAATGTATTTTTGTCGTGCACTGTAATCCACATGTGGGTCCAGCTGTGTGCTCATAGTGGGAAAATGAAAACAAAACCTTCGTTGCAGCAAATTACAAAAGCAACACTGACAACCTGTGTCTAAAAACAATTCTTCTTCTCCCACTTGTTTTGGCAACACAATGTGGCGTCTCAATGCCGTCTGAACACTGTAACAGGTAAAAACAGTCCTTGAATCTGTCATGCATATTTATAAGTTTGCACCGCATACACAATAGAGCGCGCTGATTGGTCTGAACCAAGTCTCTCTCATGAATGAATGCAGCACACTCAGAGACGTCAAAAGTACTCTCAGGTACAGACAGTCTCCATGCTGGAATACACGCAAGTATCTAATCGGTGTGACGCAGCTTAAAAAATGTGTTTCAAACCGGAAGAACAAATTTGCTCGAAATAATGCAAAAACAACCAATTTCCCCTTGTTTGTGAAATAAATGTGTCCTAATAGTGTTTTTAGCAGCGTGGGACACATATATGACTGTCAACAGCTCAAAAAATGTGTTTTGGTATTTCGTGACTCTTTAAAGGTGCCATACACTGCATTGGTTTAGAAAGTTAAATTATTTTCTGATGTCTAGATAGTAGGTTCATGGCTTCAGTAAGTTAAAAAAAAAACCTCCAGAAACGGTTTTATAAGCTCATTTATTATTCCATAAAATACCCATTTGAATCAGATAGTCCATAATTGACCATATATGGTTCGTGTCATGGATATTAATGGGTTCCACTCTGACCTGCCACTTTTACAGACACCCACAGAGCATGAAGTACTCTGAACATGAACAAATATAAACCCAATCAGAGTAACATTAGCCTATCTTGCTCACCAGATTTGCAATGGATAAAGGCTAAATTATAATTAAAATTGACAAAAGAGAGTGAAGTATCGTGTTGTCAAAGAAAACACAGGAATTAATATCAACCTCTGCATAAACATATAACTGTGATTTGACAGGATTCATCAGTATACATGTGTTGGTTAAAAAAATGTATCAAAATTCACAATAAACACGATAAATTAACAAAAGATGTAACATACCTTATGCTCTTCGGAGTGGTAGTGAATAAATGTGTAATCAGTAAATCTTTCATTTTGCATTCTGAAACATGCCTCGAGCTGTTGTTGTATCACTAGAAAACATTCGGCTTATCAATGCCACTCATTCTGCTGAAAGTTGTTTAAATGAATAAGTGATTCTCGTTTTCCTCTCAATGGCAAATATAAACACTGAACTAAAATGCAAGCAGGGAGAAAAAGGCAGTTAAGTAAACATCTGATAATAGCTATAGTGGTATTTGCTGTAGCTCTTCAATTCATCACTCCAGTCAAGTTATGTCAGGTATAGTTTAAATCACACTATACATAGTTTGAAAGCAAGTAAAATTAAGCATGAAAAGAAAAGTCTAAGAATTTCACTTCAATTTCTACCTTTAAACAACTTTTCAGCGTTGATGTTTCTACTTGTGGACGTTTGACCATGACCAACTGAAAAGAGAAAATGAACCAGAGATTTTCACATCAACCAAGGAGAGATTCAGAACTAGAAATGCCTGTTTTTTCCAGCCATAGAAAACTTTTCTGGCAAGTTCACATTGTTTAAACTCCTGATCTTGTTCAAAATAACATCACATTAATTCATTATTTTATTTTGCTTGATGTATTAAGAAAGTCAATGGAGACCGATACATATTACAAGTTGATCCAAATTTAAAGAAAAAAAATTTACCTGCATAGCTGTGCCATCAATCTACTATTTCAAAAAGCCTAAAATGGATAACATGGCCATAAAATGTTGTAATTCACTTCTCTCTGTCACATGACCTTTATATAGTAAATAATTATATATAACTAAATAATTCTAATATGCTGTAGCTTATCTAATGTTTCTAATTAGAATATCTAATATGCTGTAGCAACGTAGCATTTTTATTATAAATGTTGAAAACCATTTTTTAAAATATTTTTATGCAAACCATGATCTATTTTTCTGGATTTTCTTTCGTTTAGAAAGTAAATATATACTTTATTTTATTATATATTGTTTGGTATACTTTTATTGCTAATTTAGATCAATTTATAGCGTCCCTGCTAATATAAATGCCCATTGATCAAAGTCAAACAACACTATGTGGAATTAAAGTGGCACTAAGTCACTTTTAATTTCCTACTCGGGTCAGGCATGTGTGCTTATGCAAAGAAAGATTAATTGGCCGACTGTCTCAGTTTGGATGCCAAGAGGAAAGGTCTGTTGTCATTATATATTACTATTAGAAGGTCCTCCTGATGTTATTATATAACACTAAGAAAAGCCTAACTGCACAAGAGAGCACTCCTCAAATGACAGCACTCAAACTCCTCGACCACCCTATTGACTACATCATGTATCATAATCTATTTTATAAGTCAGATAGTACACATGAATAATTTCTTTCAGTTTCTCCGCCAAATCAACTTGTTGCCATTCTGAAGTCATTAAAAAGCTTGACCTCTTAGCGAGAGGCTATTTTTATTTCAGCAATGTACGCCCCCACCCTTTAAGCCAGCTCTGAGTGACAGCACAGCTGTGATCAACTACCTTTATCCAGCACCAGATTCCACTTCACAGGGTGACGGTGGGTATCTCTTCTCTGTCCCTCTCTATTTTAACTTCCTTTATGGCTGCCCCCCTATCACCAACATCCAGCTCAGGGTGTGGGAGGGGATCTGTGTGTGCTTGAGTGTGTGTTCGTGTGAGAGACTCAACTCAGGTGGGCAACTAGAAGGAACCCTGGGACATAGTTGCAGTAGTAGTTGTCTTCATTGAGGGGGCCCTGTAAAAACATGGAGCGTGTGTACTGAGGGCCCCCAAGGCCGAAAACCGAACCAAAGACTCAAGCTCAGAACGCACCATGGTGGCCGAGGAGGTTATCATCACCTTGTCGGGAGGAGCGCCCTGGGGCTTCAGACTACAGGGAGGAATCGAGCACCAGAAACCTCTGCAAGTTGCCAAGGTATGATTATGAAGAACACTACTGAATAAAATGAGCTTAATAATAGTTTTCAGTACCGTCGGTTTATGTGATATGCACATACAGTTCTTTAGTTCTAAAGAAACGTTCAAACTAAATGCAGCCTTAAGATGTAATGGACACCAGAAGCACAGGCCCCTGCACTCTTTAGTGGTGTGGAACTGATCCTGGACCAAAAAAGCCAAATGATTCATTGAGCTGTGAACTTTCAAGTACCATTCGAACTGCAGGACAACCCCCTTTATATATAGTCCTAAATAGCTAATGCACACTGCATGTACAGTATATTAAGTAATAGTTACAATTCAAGATTAGATGACCAGTAACAAGCAAAGCTTGTGGAATAAATGTTTACATTGCATTTAGGTGGTCGTTTTTATGAAAAAAAAAAACACTAAATCTGTAATATTGTTAAATATTAATTCAATTTTAAATGTCAGCTTTCTGTGTGAATGTGTTGTAAATTGTAATTTATGTGATTCAAAGCTGAATTTTTTAGCAGCTAATACTTCAGTCTTCACGGTCACATGATTCCTTAGAAGACAATATATAAAGCTGATTATCTATTTTCATAATGATAATAAGAAATTACCAATTGAGCATGAATCATAATAGATAAGCATATTTAAAATTATATCTATCTATATATATATTTCTATAGTAAATATATATTATATTATATCATATTTATATAGAAAAGTTATTAAAATTTAGATCATACTTTACAGTGTTACTTTTTGTACTGGTGTTTTTGATTAAATAAAGGTAGGAAGACTCTAACAAATCTTAATGTTTTCAGATTGTAGGCAACTACTGTATAGAGAGAAGCATTTAATAAATAATTTCATGAGACCCTAATCAATCAGTTTAACGTCCGGCATTCCTGTATTTGCAACATATTGACTAATTAAAGTTGAAACAGCTCAGGGGTGCAGTTCCGAAATCCATCGTTAGCCAACTAAGGTTGGAAGTCGTGTCGTTACAAACATAGTTTGTTGATTTGGCGTTTCCCAAATCCATCATTCCAATGAACATTCATAAACTGCGTCGCAAACTTATATAGTTGCAACTACACCACTAGAGCTGTAGTTCAAAACATAGTTCCAGACTGTGTTCTATTCCAAGTTATCCCCCCTATGCCCTATTCATTTAGAACATTTAAACTTGGATAAAAAAAAAAGCATTAAAGTATTTTTACAGTTCAGTTTTAGCGATCTTCATGTTTATAATTGTGCTCCCTTCGCAATGCACTTCATGACAAAAGCTATAGGTTACCTATTTAAAAGCGGAATTTATGTTACATCTCCAAAGCTTGTGAAAACAAAAAACATAGCATATGTTAACGCTTTTAATTGATAGTAGGTTATTTATTGAGTATATGTACTGTATATGACATGGGCCTGTTGGTTAGAACATTTCCTCAGTGGTTTGCAAGAGTTAAATTGTAAAAGTAGACTTTTCAAAAGATAAATAAAGAATATCCTTCTCAATAATAATAGTAATAATAATAATAATAATAATAATAATAATTACTGATAGTATTATTAAAGTAGGATTTTTCATTACCTAATAAATAATAAATATTAAATTTCATTTTTTAATAAACTGCCTCATTATTTATTTATATGATTTATATACGATATTAGAATATGTGTTAGCTTTTGTAAGTGATTTTATGTTTTGAATAGAATACGTAATGTTCTCAATAATATTTGTAAAGGAAACACTGACCCTATATGTGCCATTTACTATACATATATTTCCATTAATATGGAAAACGAGTGCATGTTTTTACCAAACATAAAATAGTATTTTTTTTTAAAAATCCAATATTAGTTTTTGTAAAAACATGCACTCGTGTGCGTGTAAAACAATATACACTCGTCACTACATCGTTCTTTTCCCAAACGATGCTTCGTACAATGATCAAGCGTGAGTAACGTCATTTGGGAAACGCACCCCTGGTTGTTAGTTCCTCTGGATATGTGTTCTTTTAATCTGATACATAAACTAATCATTCAACCCAGGAGTATTGACAGTGCTTATGGACTATCTATCTATATTATTATGTTATTCGATCAGGGTACTTTCATCCACTGATCTTAACTGTGCACCCACTAATCGTGGCTGTCATGAGGGGTGTTGATTTTTATTGGTGGATAGCTGCTTGTCATCAAAAGTGAATTAGATTAATCTAATGGTATGGAGGCTCCGCCACAGCAAGATTAGGTTTAGTGATGGGACCGTTTCCAGATCGGAGTTCACCACATGTTCCTGAACCTGTCACCTTTGCATTGACAACTATCATTGACAACACTACAAAGAAGCCAAATGCAGGATTACAATCAGAAATGGAAAACCAAACACTGATTCATATACCATGCTGATTCGGATTGTTGTAAACAAAGGCCAAAGCAGCATACACACTATAGCATGTCCTGTTTATCATCAAGTAAAGTAAGTATTTATAGACTGATTATTGCTTCAGTTGATGTGCAAGTGCAACCTGTGAGTGTGAACAAAACCACTGAAATCAGAGCCTGTCTTAAAGTGCAAAGTAAGATGACAGAATGTATTGCAAGGCCTAGTTGAAAACAACATTACAACATACACAAGAGCAGCAACTGTCTATGCCAGCCAATGGAGTGGTTTTGTGAGCAATGTTGCACATATTTGCTGGATATGTTAAAGAGAAAGTTTACCCAAAGATTCAAATTTGCACACTCTCAGGCCATCCAAGCTAAAATGACTTTTCTTCAGTAGAACATTAAAGATTTCCAGCGGACTATGTGGTTTTAGTTGATTTTTAAAATGCAATTCAATGGTTTTCTGTGCTTTAAGATTAAAATAAATGTACAGGCAAAACAAAATGAAAACCCATGGCTGCTGAAAAAACAGGTCTTTTGAATCAACAAATCCATTTCTGAGTGCATTTCTAACAATCTAGAGCAAGTCTTCTTGTTGTATAGTGATGTATTAGTGAGTGCAAACTCACCTTTGAGATGACACTGAATACAACAGAGAAGGATGATGCATTCTGTATTGTTCATCTAAGGCTGCATTTACACTGCATGACTCAATTCCGATTTTTTTTCCCATGTTACACAGATCGGATATGGCACATGAACAAGTAAGCAGGAAAAAAAAAATCACAGATTCCGATTTACTCAAATCAGATTCAGGCCTTGTTTATTTGTGAAAATTTATCCGATATTAATAGGATCTGTGTCCTCATGTCTGCAGTGTAAGCAGGTAGATAGGATTTTCACCTGTCAATGCGAGTTGTGCATCTTTAAAAGCTTTAGCCAATGACATCAACTCTGACGCTGTCATTTCAGAACAGACTTCAGCTGAGTCTCAAACCCTCAATCTCATACACAAGGACTAAAAAAGCCTTTATATTTTTATGTAACACAAGTATTTAAGCATGTTAACGAGAGAGACTTAACCAATATAAATTAATGTAAAACTGAAGCATACATCACATGCATAAATCAAGCCATGGACATCACATTTGTCAGGTGTGTGGACAGAACCCAGACGCAGATCAGCAATAAAAATAAACTTTATTAATTAGGAAGAAAAAAACTGGACACAGAGCCCAGATAAAAGCCAAAAGAGCTGGAAAAAACAACAAGCTCATGGTAGGGTAAATAGTCATTATAAGTAAAACAAAATAAAACCAAACTGGACAGAAAAACAGACAAGCATCAAACTACATGTAACATGAGACACAATCAGCCCAGACAATAGCAAACTGGGAGAATAAAACGAGGAGCTCAGGTGAAACAAATTTAACAAAATGAACCGGTAACAACACAGGCGGGGTCTAATTAATAGACAAATGAGCACATGGAAAAGACCAAACACAAGCCATGTGCTGAACACAAAACAAATAACAGACATAAGTACACAGCTTAAGATGACTTGATGCTGTGTGCTCACAACACAGAAAAGAATACATTGTTCAAGCTAACTCAAAACCAATGCACTCACGAAGAGAAAACAAACAAGTGTCAGTGTTCTGACACAAAGTAAGAATGAATTAAACATAAGACAGAACCATGACAACATTAAGGTGCCTACTGGTTTAAAAAGACTTAGATTAAAAGAAGACTTTGTCGTATGTCATGTAAATGCAGACAACTGGATACATGTCACTTTTAAAAGATAAAAGCAGAAAATGATTAATGAAAGCTGGTCAGGAAAAAAATCGGATACAGTCGCCAAAATGGTACTTGTTAATACTGGATGCTATAACTGACACACAGTGGTGTAAATTAACAAATTACAAATCCTCAAATTACAGTAATTAAAGTAGTTTCTCTCAGAAACTGTAATTTACTAAGTAGTTTTAAAAATGTATACTTTTACTTTCTCTTGAGTACATTTTTAGTGCAGTATTGGTACTTCTACTCCACTACTTTCCTTTAACCTGCAGTCATATTTTTGTGTGTGTGTGTGTGTATGGGGATTGTAAAAGTCTTGTAATTCCTGTCAAATCAAATCACACATAGACTGTAAATCACATCATACTGAACTACCTTAAGACATGGGTGCTTTACAAATGCAGCAAACCACTTGGACACATTAAAAGTGTCCGAGAAGATGTTCAAAATCTTTAAACGCAATAATCCAGAGACTGTTTAGACTGCACGTCACTGATTAGAGGATGATAGGTGAGGACTGAAATCACCAAATAGTCTTAAACAATCACTTAATGCACTACAGAATGTTACGTTTACACACACAAGCACAAATTGCATTTTAACTCATTCGCTTTTTACAGCGTAATACTCAGTCCTCACTACTCTTGAGTACTTTGAAAATGGCTACCTTTTACTCATACTTTGAGTAATATTTACAACAGATACTTTTACTCTACTTAGACTTCATGTTTGGGCAAGTAATGGTACTTAAGTGTGAATTTTCAGTACTCTTCCCATCACTCCCGATACAAAATATATCATTAGACTTGCATTGGAACCTTAATAGTCCAGATTAACTTAACAAATTCTCAATGTTTGATGTTTAAAACATCATTATGCAACATGAATGTTTTGAATGCACTCAGAAACATTAGGCAAGGCTGTGGATTTCAGATAATAATGTAAATACTGTACAGTTGAGTTAAGTTCTGTTGTTTCACTTCATAAAACCTCAGTGTGTTGTCAGGAATCATGTGTGTTGATTTTGTATGGTCTAGGTGTTTTGTTTGTTTTGTTTTTGAATCTCAAACTGCAAGTAGCCAATGATTTACATTTTCACCAAGGGCCACAATTTCTGCTAAACAAATGTTCTGCAGAAGAAAAAAGTAGGATCTTGCGATTTGAAGAGATGCAGATTAGCTGAATATGAGATTCTAAATGTAAAATGTGTAAGATTATGTTAGAAGGATGAATGGATGGATATTGAGTCGAAAGTCATACAGAATGTCACTCATTGTGATCTATTTTTAAGATCCCTGAGATATGAGCACTCTTAGCTTAATCTATGTATAACATTCAAGGCCATTTTAAATTACTTTGTGACCTATTCATACATTATCAACCTATACATTTATACTGCAGGTACGTAAGCGAAGTAAAGCCTGCCGGGCTGGTCTGCGTGAGGGAGATGAGCTGATGTCCATCAATGAGAATTCCTGTGGGAGTCTGTCACATGCCCAGGCCATGAACCTGATCGACAGCATGCCAGGAACGCTACACATCCGAGTTAGGAGGTAAACTATCCTTTACCTTGTCAGTGCTAACATATGTTTGTTTAACTCAAATGGTGTTTAGGAGCTGTAAGTAAATGATTGTTTTGAGTGTAGTTAAACCTCCAAGCCAGGGATACTGTAAGGTTCTGTTTCTGACCACCCCTGTGCTATTTTACCCCCTTACATGTCTATCAGGGCACCGGCTGGCTTCCAGTCGGTGGTTCTGGTTGCTCGAGCTCCTTCTCCCCGCATTGATAAAGAGTACCGTGCCGCCCTTAGGGCCATGTCGCCATCCAGCTCCCGACCTCACCAATCCAGCGTACGGCAGATCCACCGTGGAACCCTGATGTCTCCGACTGGACGCAGTGGATTGACCTCCCCACCTGGCAGTGAAGCCTACTATGGAGAAACGGACAGCGATGCAGATGTGGCTGCTCATGAGAGGCATCGCAAACCAAAGCGACGTAGTCCCAGCAATTCACCAGGCAAGGCTGGTCGAGCCTCACCAGAGGGAGCTGAAACTTCGGAAATGAGTGGGTATGACAGTGCTTCGGATGCCCAAATGTACAAACTTTTGGGGCCTAATAAGAGGGAAGACACATTGCCAGGTGTAGCTCGCAGAGAAGTGATTTACCAGCCCCCTTTGCATGGAGCATGGTCCTCCCAAACTTCCACTGAGACCTCGTCAATGAGTGCAGACGACCAGAACCCAAGAGAAGGTTTAATGGAAGAAGACAGTGGGTTTCAGGAGCCCACAAATATCCCCCCTCTTGTTTCTCCAGAAAGAGCCAAAGAAGCTTTAATGCTGAGCTCTCGTAGTCAGCTGGTGCCCATGGTTGGGCCAGTTGACAATCCAGTGGATGAGGAACTCACATTAACATACATGGATAAAGCAAAACAAGCAAGTGAGTACATGAAGATTGTTGCACTTGTGATCAACTGGCTTCAATCTCACTTTCACAAACATCTGCTTAGCTTTGTAAATGTGTTCTTAAAGGCACTGCCTGAGACTGCCTGCATGTAAACCCTTGAAGAGACCAGTGTCTAAATTTGTCCTGAGGCTCACAGGGTTGATAACCTGAGTATTGCTTTGCATGAGCTGGCATACGCATCTCCAGCTGCTGTCTCATATCAGGTGACGGTGGCCCTCACAGGGCCGTACTCATTCTCTCCAGCTAGATCCTCAGCTGAAATACTTGACAGTATTGTTAACATTCTCAGTATTGTTTTCAGACATGAACAATGCTGGCACTTAAAAATCTTGTCAGTGCAAGCCACAAATTAGCATACTTTAGAAGCCAGGTTATTGTTCATCAAATGTATACACACAATTACTTACACAGGTTTTACATTCCAGTGCCTGGACATAAGTTATGCAGTGTCCAGGCACTGGTATGACATTGATCCTGGATTACAGCAATGGAATGTATGTTTGTTGATCCAAGATTAGGTGGTAAACAACACAGACATCCTTGTTTATGCTGTGATTACTGGCTCTGGAATCAAATGTGCTATTAATTCAGTATTACTATAATTGACACTGTATATGCCGACTGCTAAATGTTAATTCTTCTAGTGAAACATAAGATTTTAGCAGTTATTACATCCAATCAAATGGCAACATCGCATGTCTAATTCTACCAATATTTTTACTGATATATTGATAACATTTTCCTAAAGTGTTAATAAAGGGTAGGTTTAAGATTCAGTTTTTGGGACATTTGCCACAGCAATGTTTTAAAAAGTGTACAAACATCTTTAGAATCACTGATTATTGAAGCAATAATTTAAATAAACTGTCATAAATCTAATGCCAACTCTAATTCTCTCTCTAAACATTATTTTATGGATGCACCAATACCGATATCAGTATCGGGTGTCGGGTCAATACTTGGTTAAAATGCTCGTACTCATATTATACATAAAATGCTGATGCCACGCACCGATACCACTCAATAGTAATTCACTACATGGATGGATTTGTTGTCCTACCTGACTTCAATGTATTAATGTATTAATTAATGTATTATATATTAATAGCTTAATCCTTATTAATAATCCGTTTATAAAATACGTTATTAATGGATCTATAGGCTACTGAATAATAAACGGTCCATGTCAGGGGAGTAAATGTAACATAAACTGCATACACTTGATTATGTAATGTATGCAGTTGTGCACATGTGTCAGTGCAAGCCTAACTTATCCTTTAAATGTCCATGCTTATTGAAAATCAATAAGGGCCATCGATTTACAGGGTTGTAAATTATTTAAGGTATATTTTTGGCTTTGAATAACCTTCTGTTAAAGATGTTTTGTGTTCATCATTGCTACAGGCAAAAAAGAAAACCTCTTTTTAAATTAATTGCACTTTTATTGAAACCAACTCTAAGAATTATCAGAATTGGTACTCGGTATTGGTAAGTACACAAATTAAAATACTCGTACTCATATCGGTTGTAAAAAAGTGTTATCGGTTCATCCCTACATTATCCCTAAATTAAAATTTCAGCACTAGTAAACAAAGACTTTCCCAATGGTAGACAAATCATTTTTGCATCAAAGTTATATTATTAATTTAACCATGCTTCCTTGTTGCAAAATTCTTTAACTAAAACGCGGTTGCTGTTAAATATTTGTAATATATATATATACTGTCTCAAACCTTTTTATCTTATGTTATGCAGAATTGAACCGTGGAGAGACAATCACAGACAAGCAGGTGAAAGAGGCCCGGTCCAAGTGCCGCACAATCGCCTCACTACTGACAGATGCACCAAACCCTCATTCAAAGGGTGTACTGATGTTTAAAAAGCGCCGGCAACGATCCAAGAAATATACACTGACCAGCTTTGGAAGTGTTGATGAGGACATGAGGCAGGACTCTCAAGAGGAGGATGGCATATTTCCTGGCAGTGAATCAGAATTTGATGAGGAGGGTTTTTCAGCTGCACCGGACCCCACATGGGACAGCGACTACCTTGAAATGCTGGAGAAAAGATGTGCTTCCAGAGGTCAGGAAGGAGATGGTGGTGCTCTTAGTCCTGGTCTGAGTGATACATCTGGAAAGGGGGCACAGTTGTTTGAGCAGCAGAGGAAAAGGGCTGAAGAGCATGCAAGAAAAATCGAAGCTGCACAAGAACAGTTACAAAGCCAAATGCTGGGCATTTCACTGAAAGAGGCCCAGGCACTTCCTCCGCTTCAGACAGCACACCCAGACCCACTAACAAAGCTCAATGTCCAGCCACCACCAGTTGCTCCAAAACCTGCCAGACCTTCAACAACCCTTTATCATGACGTTCAAGCAGCCGAAGCACAAAACAACAAGACACAGATGAATACACCTCAGACCATCCCCACTGTTCCTGTTATGGTGAATGGAGATGCTTCGAACACAACTGTGACAGCCCCCTCTGTGATGCCCAAAACTAATCTCTCAGTTCTTTCTACAGAAACTGTGATGCCTCCACCACCAACTCCTCTACCAGAACTTCCTGCCAGTTCTGTGTTAAACAGAACTGCCAGACCTTTTGCCCCAGGCTGCATTACCAATCGGGCAGCCACTGCTCCTGTTGTGTTTCGCCCTGCAGTCAGTAAGAAGACACCTAGACCTGTTTCAGTGGCTGTGGTGGCACCTCCATTTCCAGCAGCATCAGAAGAGCATGTCATGTGTGTCACCCCAGCCATATTTGGTACCCAAGTAACAATGAGTCAAATGAATGCCAATGTCTCTAATGAAATAATACCCACACAGCCCTTGGCACAAGGAACGTCTATTCCTCCACCTGCTGCTGTATCAGTTGAATCATATTCTCAACCTGCTTTTCAGTGCTCTGCAATGGAAAGCATCCAGGTTGCATCACTTCCCAGAGTTCAAGCCCAAAAGCCTACTGTTCCAATGATTGCAGAAACAATAGTTCCTCCTGATGACATGGTGACTTCTTTGGCTACTGATATGCATCCTAAGGGTATAACAATATCATCCCAAACCTCTTCTATTTTGACCCCTACTGCTTCTGAGACAACTTCAAGCCCTGTAATTCCACTGTCACCTGTAGTCTATCGTGAAAAACCAGCTTCTGTTGGTGGCCGCACTGGTATTCTCCAAGATGCCCGACGCCGCAGTGCATACAAGCCAATGTTTAAGATGCCTGACAGCAAGAAGAACTCACCAAACCCTGAACTGTTGACTATGGTGCAGAACCTAGATGACAGACCCAGCCATGGGTATCCTGAACCAGACAATATTGTTTACAACATTGATGAAAATAGGACAAGGGTCCCACCACCTGTGGCTCCTAAGCCACGAGTCATCCCAGAAATGTCACAGATCCCTCAGGCAGAGGGAAAAGGTGCAGAGCTGTTTGCTCGTAGACAAAGCCGCATGGATCAGTTTGTTGTAGACACTCCATATCTGCAGCCAGCAACTCTACAACACCAACAATCCCAATCAGTCATAGATTTCATCCAACCTCGAGAACCCTCGCCAACCCCATCCCAATGGAAGTATTCCCCTAATGTTCGGGCTCCTCCACCCATAGGATACAATCCCTTGTTGTCTCCTTCCTGTCCTGTTGGGGTGCAGCGTGCAGGCGCAAAGGTGTCTGAGGGAAGCGCCAAAGGAAGTAAGGGTAGTTATGGTGTGCCAAAAGAGGGTATCAAGGCCTTGGATTTCATGAGAAGGCAGCCATACCAGCTAAACCCTGCAATGTTCAGTTTTGGTGGTGGCATTGGTACACAGTCTTCAATCCCTTCCTACCAGAGGCAGCAGAGGGAGGGCCACACTCTGACTCCACCCAAGCAGATCCCAGTAAAGGCGGCACGTGTGTATGAAATCAAAAGATTCTCTACTCCCACCCCAATGTCAGCACCAACTCTCAACCCCACAGTCATTATACCACGCTCACAGACCACCCTTGGTGAGCGAATCTCTCGTTCTGACATGACTTCCCCTGCACCTGAACCTGTCCCTGAATCATCTCTAGCACCTTCACGGGCCCCAGGCCTCCCAGAGCTCCCCAAAATTTCATCTGTGCCCATCCCTCACCCCATGCCATACTCTCCACCAGTTCCCATCTCAAGTATGTCAAATCTCAGCTACTCTGGGCTCCAAGCTGCCAAACAGTTTAAGAGTGCCCCTGAATTAAGTGCCTTACCACCAAATCCCTTAAAATCCCCTATCCAAGTTCCCAAACCACACTTTATTGCAACACGGGCGGGTGTACAGCCCCGCGTCTGGAGGCCTGGTACCTTACCTCACTGACAGTATTGCTTTGCATGTGAAAGACTGAAACATCTATATCTGTCTCAAAGTTAAATCCTTTCAAGTTTGATCAGTGAGGTAACATTAATTTATTTGGAAACTATAAGGGAATAATATGTGCTGCATCCCAATTTGCATACTATCCATCTGGAATTGTATTTAATAGTTTGTACCAACTCGTAGTATTGAAATGAGTGTGCTAAAGGTTTCCAATTGAATTGTAATTTGAAGTGTAGAACCGTCTGGTCACTACAAAAATTGGTAAAAAGTGCAAACAAGCTACAAAAATTTAAATCACGTTATCTGTGTTATAGTTTATCTGCAACAGAAATGTGTACTTCTATAAAGATGTGTTTTGACATTAACTTCTGAATGCATATTATGCAAACAGCAGAGAAGATTTCTTTCATTTAGGACAGAGGTGTCCAAACATAGTCCTGCAGGGCCGGTTTCCTAGAGAGTTTCACTCCAACCCTAATCAAACACATCTGAACCAGCTAATCAAGCTCTGATATACTAGAAACTTCCTGGCATGTGGGTTGAAGCAAGTAGGAGCTAAACTATGCAGGACACCGTCCCTCCAGGACCGAGTTTGTACACCCCTGATATAAAGATTTAGTATAGGTAGGAGAATTGGGAAACAGCAATGCTTCGGCGTTTTGTTTTTTAAAAACACAACTGACAAAAATCTACAATGTCAGCATTTCTTTGGCAATATGATTAAAATTCCTAATATTGTCCTCGTGAATTTAAATTGATCCAACATGCGTGCATTTCTCAATGCATGTCCTGGTCTTGAGAACAATTTTTCTACATTGCTCAAATGAAAACATTGTTTGTCTTTGTAAACATCAGACTGTTACTTCTTTTCTCTCAGAAATGTGTCTCTGATGTTACACAAACTTCAAGGGCAATTGGTAATTTTATTTAAGAACAAACTAGCCACTTAGGCATTGTTTTAGCAAACTCACTATGGTGTTTAGAGATACTGTCCTCCAAATTTCTTTAAGACTGTATGTGAGTTTTCATTTTGGGCACCTTTTACCGACAAAAGTCTTACCGCTGTGCTTTTCTTAGCGTAAAACCTTGATCTACATTACACATTTAAAGAAATAGGGAAAACTAAGAAAAACCATTAAGCTGAGGCTTTGTTTTACTGTGTGCTCTTAGGTCAATCAGAAATGATATCTCTCCTGGCAGAGCCTGAACTGAACAGGTGCATGAGGGTCATAGACTATTTGTAGGAGCAAAGCAAACAGGGAACCAGGCTGGTTCCTTAAAATGTGCTCTGGCTGGATATGTGGTCTTTATATCCCACTACCTATATATTAATCAAACAGCACTAATGAACATCTTGTGTTTTCATTATTATGTCATATAGAAACATATTTAAGTGGTCAAGTTAGTAAGTGTTGGAAAGGTATAGTGTTGGAGAGAGTCCTAGAGATAGACATGTAGGCTATCTGGGCACTAAAGCAAATCTGTCACATGAAGACAGGCATGAAAAGTGCGAAGCTAGCACTATCCAGGATTATCAGAAGGTTAATTAGCCAACTGGCTTTACTGGAATTAGTCAGAATACTCAAAGCAACATGTCATATTTGAATGGCATGTGTGGCAGTGAGGCTGATGATTTCAAGGATGAGTTGTTTTTGAATGTGTTCCCAAAACCCTCAAAAATATGAAAATGTCTTAAGAGAAAAAAAAAATCTGAGGCCTTCTAACATTAAGGGAACAAAAGACTGAGGTTTTAAGAAAGGAAATCAGTATATTAATGTGTGTTAGATATTAAGAGAGGATGAATAAATAATGATTGCAGTTCTGGCAGGTGGGAAGATTTCATTTTTAAAACATCTCCTTTTATAAGTTACATGTAGAAACTGAATCAGAAGACAGCAAAAGTAGACTGGGTGTTGAAATCTTGAGCCATTTTGTGTTTTTCCACGTTAGTCTGTCATCATGTTTTATATTAGACTAAAGCTTTTTTTAACCGCTCTTAATTTTGGCTGTTGTACAATTCATTGAATCAGTGTGTCCGTCTTCCTTAAATTTGCTTTGTGTTTAATGTCTCTTGTGCTTATGATGAGCTCAGTTGAACTTTAGCACATAAGTAATTCTGAAAACTGAAAGTCTCATGCATTTCTAATTCAATAGTTGAGTAGTTTAAATAAAACATGCCTGAAATAGTAAAGAAATGTGTTTGTGTCATTCCAAGTCACTTGTATGTAATGCAGACATGATCTAAACATCTCACATGTACACAAACGATTAGAAAAAAAAGCTATTTGTTTTATAAATAGTCTTTTTTTTATTTCACTGACACTATAATGCTTCTGATTATAATAACTGACGATATGCGGCAGTGTGTCTCTTTTTGTCTTACAACAGTGTTGTTGCACTAAATGGGACTAATCACCACATGGTGGCGCTTGCGTCCCACTGTTACTAATATAAATCTGGTTATGTGTTAGAGCAAGAGTATTTCAGTTTCTCACTCTTTATGAAACACCAAAACACTAGTTCAATTGAACCATCATGGTGAAATTAACGTTATATCAGGAAAAGGAAAACACTAAACTTGGTTGGTAATTTTCTAACAAAATTATTTGGCAAAAATAATATGGCTCACAGAATATGGGTTTTATTTAAATACATAAAAAGGAACAAAAAACAAAAAGCATACAGGAAATACACCCTCATTCTCTCCACTATTTCATTAGCAGCAATTATCTGATATGCTTCTATGCATTCTTACAATGAAACAATGGTGCAGCAACTAAGCACAAATAAGAACATTAGTTTGACTTAGCTATAAATGTTCCTTGGCTGGACATTACTTTTTGCCACTGTTGTGTCCAAGTTTATAATCAAAAGCCAATGTCGCCTCTAAAACATAGTGGAGTGCATGAGTCGACTACAGCTGAAACTGGCACCATTCTCATGCATATGCAGAGCACCATCCTATATTTAGGGCTGATAATGTTCAGGCACTTTTTATGGCTGCTCCAAGGCGCTTTCCCTGCTTAGATTCTATTTATGAGTAGATCCTTCCTGAATTGACAGATGGAGAGACTCTGACAATTTTTCAGTTTTATAGGGTGCAAACGATATGTGAATAATTATATAATAAGCATTGTCTCTGAGCAAAGTGGAAAAGTGCCTTGTGAAATATATTTCTTTACTGGCAAGGAAGTTGTGGTGTAATTATTTTAGTTATAAAATTAAAAATCTTACTGAACTATTATTATTTATATATGTCCAGGTTGTTACAGAAGCAGAAACACAGCTGATTTTCTCATTCACCCAATAACATATTAGAACCATGTCAGACTAATGTAACAGTGGCTTCCCCGTCCAACACTGACCCTCTAAGAGCTTAAATCATTATCATAAAAACACATTTAGCACAGCTAGGGACCCGTTATTGGTTTTAAAATGTGAAAATCCCCTGACAAGTTGAAGGAGATTAACCAAAGAACAAAAAGTGCAAATCTACCGCAACCCTTTTGCCCCGTGAAGTTATTTGATAACTATGTGCAATCAGCCGCTCTCTCTCCTTCTCTCTATATTTAGCCAATGAAGCATCTGCAAGAAAGATATTAGTCTCTTGATATTCCCATCAGCAAAGTGCTGTGCAGACCAAATGGGTCCCCCTTTACCCCTCACTCCCCCTTCTTACCCGGACTCTCCCTCCCCCCGTGAAGATCTGCCATCCAAGTCCCAACTGGATTTTGCACGCCTTAGGTTCTTGATCCAGCCACAGGTCAAAGGTACCCTGGAATTGGTAAACTTCTCAGCCACACGCCTTTTCCTATTTTCACTGTACCTTTGAGACCAGTTCTTGGTAAGTGGATTATGCTATATTTTTTCTGTCACTTCACTAACCGCACACACTGACACCGTTCAACTAACAGCTGCATGAAGGCAATGAAAACACGACCAGCAATAACTTCAGATACCCTAATAGTTTTGTAAGCCCAGACGATACCGTTTGCACTGATTGGAAAAATCAAGGTTGAATGATACCTGAGGTGGCTTTTTGCTTCTAGAATGTGGGAATATGCTAAACACTCCCACCCTGCCTGGTATATGATTTTATGTGGAATGCAGAGCCTGTACTGTCCAGCTGGGGGAACTTAAGACTGGTGGACCCCAGCTTGTGATTATTTTACAGGGTGGGCCATTGCACCCCCCTCGTCACACCACAACATCATCAATCTGTGGTGTCATATCAGTTTGAGGGAGATTTCCGATTTCTTCAAAGCATTAAACCACAGTGAATGTGTTTATGCGTGTATGTTTGTGACCAATCCTGGGTATCTGACAATAAAACAGACACCACGACTCGTCACTAAAAGGTCCTGCTTTAAAAATAGCCATACTGTATTGAGTTACAGTCAAGTCGTTGCAATGTTTGCCATTAACAGAGTCTTATACTAGCAGAATAATCTATATGCAGGCATATATGTGCAGGAAAGTTGGTGGAAAAAAAAATAATAAAATCTTCTGCTGTACCATGATTTGGACCTTCAAATGCAGATTTTAATCTGATTTGTTTGCGTAATTTGTATAAAATGTATGTGATGAATACTTGAGAACATATCATTGAATTAGAATAATGTAAACACTTTGTGTGTGTATTATTTTCTTCAAATTCAGCAGACCGGAGTCAGTTATGCTTACACCACATCTTAAGACATTGTCCAGATGCTTAATTATAAGACTTTTCTCTTGTTTTTTTTATATTCTCGTGTGTAGGGCTAATTTTTCATCTGTCTCATCCCAAGCCTCTGTTGCTAATTTCATAATGTCATGCTGAGCTATTAATGTAGACTTGAGCAATTAATAACTGTTATTAATGCAGTTATTAAAATATAGAGAGAGACACTGAGAGATTGACTGAGCTTGTGTGAATTACATATGCATCTGTGTGTGTCTCTACTAATAGTGAAACCACACTAGAGAGAAAAGTTATGTAGCTTTTAGCTATATAACTATTTTATTGATACAATTGTACATTTAGTTAAATAAAGGTTCTTAATATCACTGATGTTTCCATTAAGAACTTTTAACATCTGAAAAGCCTTTCCGTAATCACTTCCACAAAATATTTTTATAAGGTTCGTAAGGTTCTGTAGATTTGGAAAATGTTCTTCAGACTTACAAACATAACTTTTTTTAAAAGTGTTCTATAAAAGTTTGTTTGGGCAACAAAAATAGTTTTTCTATGCATTATTCTGAAAACCCTTGTTTGGAGCCCTTGTTTTTAAGAGTGTGTATGAAAGAGATCTTTCTATGCATTATAAAACATAATTTATAATTTATTTTTATTTTATAGTTTAATATATTGATTTGTTTGCTCACTGAGGACGTTTACATGGACACCAATAAACCAATTTTAATACGATTAAGAAAATACTCTGAATAAGAGTCTAACATGTAAACAGAATAAGAGTCATGTAAACAGAATAAGAGTCTACCATGTAAATAGAAGTGTTTGATTAATTTAATATGATTAGGGTCATAATCAAACTAAACAGAAATGGAATTATTGAAGTATTTTTATTTGTCACAGGGGGGCATAATTGAAATGTTCCTGAATGAAAGTGAAAGTGCCAAACTGCAGTTAAATTTGACAAATTAAAAATGAAACACCCTGAAATTACATGAAACTCTGGAGGAAACGTACAGTAGATAGCGTGGTAACAATGACGTTTATCGATCTATGTGCTATAACATGTAAAACGGGATCATGAAAGGAACATTCAAAAATCAACTTAACACCTTAATCATATTATTGTATTATTCAGATTAAGGCAAATAATTCGATTACTGGTATCCTCGTAAACGTGGTCGTTGTCTGTGTAGAATTATCTGAAATTATTTAATATCGAATTGTAGAAATGCTAAGTCTGCAAGGAGTACTATAGCTACATTTTGTGGATATCATTGATAGTTTATCAGACAATAAGAATGTTCCATAATACAACATTTTTTTAAGTACGGCATAAATATAATTGACCAAACACTGAAATAAAGATTGGAATATTTTTAAACCAACCTTTCTCCAATTCTGTCTGGAAACTGTCTTTAAACATTACCCTAACCAACCAAACACAATGATGGGTTATGAGTGTATGTTCAGACTTTGCTTATCCTTGGAATCTGAGGAATGTGAGGTCATTGGTGTCTGCCCTTCTCTACAAGTCCTCAAGGACTTGCATCTCACCTAAAGTTTTAGATTATTCAGCAGCTGTTCATCAGTCAAACTGTATTCTAATCTACTGAAAAATGTTATAAAAGCAATGCTGATCAAATTACTTATTTGATCAAATCCACTCTCACCTCTGTTTCCCCAGTCTGGAATCATGCCTCTGTCAGGAACACCAGCACCACCCAACAAGCGGAAAAAGCCCTCCAAGATAATCACTGACCTGTCACACATTGCCCAAGATGGTAAGACACAAGCAACAAACAGGGGATCAATTTGATTTATTGCCGATATTGTATTGTAGGTAGCCTATAATTGTCGATGGAAACTAAATTACACACAGTTCCTTCCTCGTCACATAGTCTACAGTACAGATGGGAAGGAAGTGGAAACGTATAGCATTACTGTGTGTTATTGTTGGTATTTTATGTGGCAAATTAGTCGTTATATGTGTAATTCAAACTTACCTCACTGACCCATCGCGCTGGTAAATGATGTAACGTAACACAGTAAAAAAAAAACGCCTACTTCTGTTTGATTAGCCACCTCAGTCTACAGCGGTGATTTTTGTCATCCTTGTGTTGTTTAATTGAGTGGAGTTAATTAGGACAGTTTGATCAATTAAAATTTTTAGTGTGGTATATGCCCTGAGGCAATTTATGGTTATTATAAACTAGTGAATAATGACAGGAAATGTCTTTGATAACGGTTTTTTTTCCATGTTTATGAAAGAAGCCTTTTAAACTGCAGCAAGGCTTATGCAATTGAATAGTAATAGTGATATTTTTTTACATTTTAGTCATTTTAATATTTACTGAAGTATATTCATATAAATACAAAACAAACTATTTTTATATAAATATTTATTTACTACTTTGACTATATAAATTTCCCTTTGTCAGTGTAATTGTTTTTAGTCCAGCTAGTGTCTGGTTAGTCTTGTCCTAAGCCATTGTGTCAGTCTTGTGTAGTTATGGGTGTTTTTGTTTTGCTTAGTTAAGCTACTCATTTTCTTTGCCTGTTGGGTCTACATCTGTGTGTTTTGTTGATATGCATTTGAAACTCTCACCACATATCAAAAGTTCACAACTGTTGCTGAATTGTTCAGCAGATAAGATTAATTAAATCGATCAAAGATCACTATAAAGATAACTAAAAGGAATATAATGTATTTCAAATTGATTTTGTTCTTTTAAAAAATCACATATATATTGCACAAAACCATTACTGAATTAAAAAAATAAATAAATAAACCCACAGGGAGACCTGACATAATACTATACAACCACAAGTCAGAAAACGTTGACACAGGATGGAAAAGGCAAATTAATGTGTTCCTCAATATTTTTATTTTATTTATTTATTTATTATTATTTTTTTTCAAAATAAACATTCGAAACCTGGTGATGAAGTGTTTCAGGAGTAATTTTGGCCCATTAGAGAGATTGGGACAAATTTATACCTGAAATAAGTCTTAAGGTGGGCAAAATTACAGGGTATTCGTTGTTGCATTTTCCTCTTCAAAATGCACCACACATTCTCTATTTGAGACAGGTCGGGACAGCAGACAGACCAATCAAGTACCTGTATCCCTGATCCTCTGCAGCCAGTACTGTGTACAGTATGTGGTCTTGTTGAAATATGCATGGGGACCCCTGGATAAAAAGGAAACATAATATGCTGCAAAATCTCTATGTATTTTTCAGCATTAATGATGCCATCACAGAAGTACAACTGAAATACCTCCAGATTCCTTGGATTATTTAATTATGTTATGCACTATTGAAGGTAAAATATCCAAATAAATTCCTATTTTTCTCTGAGGAACATTTAAAAAATTTTCACACGTATTTGTTGGCAAACTGACAATCCTCTGCCCATCTTTTTTGGATGCTGGTTGGTACCAAATAATAATTACAATCACCTGTTGACATCACCTGTGTCAAATCACATCTTTATTTAACCAATTTGCCTGAATACTAGCCCTAAATTACTCCTGTCCCAATGTCTGAATGACACAAAAGGATGTATATTTTCAAATGAAATGAAGTTGACCAGACAAAACATGAATTGTTTTGTGTTCATATCATCTGCAATGAAATACAAGTCAAGGTAAATTTGTAAATCACTACTTTCATTTTTATTTGTGTTTTCCATACTGTGCCAACTTTTTTTTGATACAGGGTATATATAAAAATTATAGACAAATATAAAGGACAAATATTTTTATAGATGTGAAGTTCAAACATACGTTGCCTTAAATCAGATTTCAGACTTCTCATGTTGTGTTTTAAAAAGCTTTATTTCAAGAATAACATGTTTGGACCATTTCTATCAGTGATACTGGGGTCTGGAACTTAATAACAGTTTTTATACTTTACATCTTTTTTGCTTCATGATTAAAGAGTGTTTGTTTAGTCTTTCTGGCAGGTGAAAAGGCATCTTCTTTGGAAGATGTCATTAAAGAGATTAAATCATAGCTATCATGCTATAACACAACCCGCTCAATCGCCTGTGTCAGTCAGGTCATTCTGAAACTGTTTATTGGGAACATCATCCTCATTTCAGAGCCTGTCAGTAAGGTTTCATGCAGCTGGATTTAATATGTTTTAATGAGGAGTAATATGTCAGTGGCAACATGTATCTTGTAGTCTGCATAGATGAAATGTCAGCTGTGTCTCTGATTATTACCGGTGCACCTCATCATTATAATCATGGTACACGTACTCCGATGAAGGAACATTACATAAGGGGCTCCTGAGGAAATTAAGCCTGATTGATATGGTCTTTTTTATGCTTTGTGAATAATGTGAAATAGATGTTATTATGAATAAAAAAAACTGTTACAGAAGAGTGGATAATTTAGTTTAGGCTATACTCTTAAAAATAAAGGTTCTGGATTGAAATTGATTGGCACTGAAGAATTGGCACTTTTTTAACATTTCCATTGAACGAAAGACACTGTGTAATGGATCAAAAGGCTAATAATATTATTAAAATGTTTCTTTGAAGAACTGGTCAGTAAAATTATCTTTGAGGGGAAAAAATTTGTTCTTCTATGGCAAGCTACAAAAGCATCTTTCAGAATCTTTATTTTAAGTTACAAACAGATTCTTACTAATTTAATTGTTGAAATGTTTTTCCTTTGGAGGGAATAGCCACTTATTTTATGTAGAAATATGCTTGCTAAGTTCCAAAGAAACGAATTGTTTATACTAACACCGTCATGAAGATTTCCAAAGTAGAGTGGGTGGTAAGATGAATAATAGTGTTATGATTACAATGCGAAAAACAGATATAGAGAGTTTACTATGATAATGATATCTTGCACAGTTAATGTTTTAGAGAACTACAATAATATTATGATGCATTTATTACATATTATTGCTAACATGAATTTTATTTCCAAATGTAAATTAATTTATTGCAGCATTTTTGTAAAGTGCTACAAAGACTACATAGCTACATAGACAAGCATGTTTTGACTACACTTTATTTTGATCAATTTTAGACATTCTGTTGTCTATAAGTAATTCTCTCATTAGAGTAGTATTGGTAGACTGTTAGTAGGGTTAGTAGAATAAATGAGATGTTTTTGGATGTTTAACCTTATAGTCAGTATATGTCTGAAGGACCATCAAAATAAACAGTTAGCAGAACAGATAAATCTGACCGTCTACTAGCATGCTAGTTGACATGTTAATGTTGCATAATGGCCAAAACAAGAAATTATTGTTTAATTAATGGCAGGTGCGGCGCTTGCTTCAGAGCAAGAAGGTCGCTAGTTTGAGCCTTGGCTGGGTCAGTTGGCGTTTCTGTGTGGTGTTTGCATGTTCTCCCCGTGTTGGTGTGGGTTTCCCCCACAAGTCCAAAGACATGCGCTATAGGTGAATTGGGTGTGCTAAATTTGCTGTAGTGTATGTGTGGGAAAGAGAGTGTATGGGTGTTTCCCAGTGATGGGTTGCAGGCAGCTGGAAGGGCATCTGCTGCATAAAATATGTTCTGGATAAGTTGGCGGTTCATTCCGCTGTGGTGACCCATTATTAATAAAGTGACTAAGCCGAAAATAAAATAAATGAATGTTTAATTAAAAATGAGATATTTAAAGTATCCAGCAGACATGATTTTTTGACTCTTTCTAGAAAGTTCACAGAGACAGAAATGGCTGAAAGCATGTTATATTAATATTACAAAAGCATCATATTTTATTATTTTGAAGACTCACACTACACAAATAAATGAATACACATATACACATAAATGACAATCACCTCTTGATAAACCTAAGAAACCCTAAACTGCAGATTACATTTAAAAAAAGAGCTTGTTTAAAAAGAACAATAAATAAATAGTTGTTTTTTTTCTCCAGTACAACTAAAATATTTAAATTGTTCAATAGGTAGCTATAACTAGTTAATTTACAAATGTTTCTTTCAAGAACTGTTCACTGTAAAGAACCGGTTCTATAAAGAACCCCAAATGTATGTCTTCACTGACATCACTCCAAAATAATATATTTGGAACAGTCTTGGAAAAAGTGCATGTTACTTTATGTGGCAATTAACATTTAAATCAGATAGTATGCAATAGTCAACATTTGGTCAACAGGAATAGGTGTTGTTCATTTGTTTTTGCTTGGTGGAAAGAGTACTAAAAAATCATACTCAAGTAAAAGTACCATTGCTTGCCCAAAAATGTAGTGTGAGTAGAGTAAAAGTACCTGTTGTAAATATTACTCAAAGTATGAGTAAAAAGTAGATCTTTCAAAAGTACTCAAGAGTAGTGAGTAGTGAGTATTACACTGTAAAAAGCTGTTACATGTAATTTGTGTATGTGTGTGGAAACGTAACATTCTGAAGTGCATTTAGTTATTGCCCAGCAGGCACACAACGTCATAAGACATTAATATTAGGTTAGATTTAGGTTGTGACGTCAGGTGACCAAAATTCAATGTCTAGACAGCGTCTAAGGACATCATTATTTTGACTTGTAATAACGACATCTAATGATGTTGATATTTGGTTGATTTTAAGTTGTGTTGGAAAGTGACCAAAACCCAACGTCGAGCCAACATCTTAAACCAACTTCATATTGACGTCACAATATATTTATTCATCAGGTATGGCAACTAAAATCCAACATGTGATAGACGTCGTAGTGGAAAAGATCACACAAACATCATTAGATTTGATATTTAATTGATTTAAATTAGATGTTGATATTTAATTGATTTAAGGATGGACATTGGACTTTGACGTCGACCTGACGTTGGGTTCTGATGTCAACCTGGTTTTCATTTTCATGGTCTTCATTATGATGCGATTTGCCTTCTGTGTGATTTGATAGAACAGGAATCCCAGGACTGATTTTTCAAAAGTAGTGACTGCTGATTGAAGGAAAGTAGTGGAGTAAAAGTACAGATACATCACTAAAAATGTACTCAAGGGAAAGTTAAAGTACAGATTTTTTTAAACTACTTAGTAAATTACAATTCCTAAGAAAAACTACTCAATTACTATAATTTGAGCATTTGTAATTAGTTACTTTACACCACTGGTTTTAGGACAGCTTTGTAGAAAGGGGATGATTGATTAAAGATGATGTTGACAACCGTACAGCTAGTAGGAAGTATTTCTCACAGCTGTGTCAATGTAGAATGCCAGATATGCTGTAATGTGAAGATTGCAGATTCACAGACATAGTGGAGCAAAGAACAACCCAACTTGCAGTTATTTATTTCAAACAGAGATGGCGACAGAGATTCAAAAGCGCAAAACTGTAGTTTCATGGTGCCCATTGAAATGTAGTGTAACTCTTTTTTTATTTTCTAGAGTATGAATCAGAGCCTGAGGCCTCAGAGTTTGACTTGGGGAAAAAGATCAGGGCACCCAAGGACATCATGCTAGAGGAACTGTCCCTTAATAAGAACAAAGGCTCCAAGATGTTCAAGATGAGGCAAATTCGAGTGGAGAAGTTTATCTATGAGAACAACCCTGACCTCTTCAGTAGTGAGTCTATGGTAAGGCAGGCTAGAAGTCAAAGTCCTATGCATATTTGTTCACAGATTCAAGATTATTTACATAAGATTGTCATTACTCTTAAATTAGTTCTTCTGTGTATCAGTGTTATACCTGCATTCAGACTCTTTATATTGATCAAGGGTAATACTAAAATAATGGTCCATTAGGTAATGTTAGTTAATGTATTTACGAACATGAACAAACAATAAGTAATACATTTTTAAGGTATTAATTAATCTTTGTTATTGTTAATTAATGTTATTTACAGTCATGAAAAAATAGGACACCCCATGAAAGCCTGGATATTTGAAAAAAATTAATATATGGTTATTTAATCTTAATTTTAACAATACTGAAATATTAAGGTAATATAAAAACAAAGCAAATAAAAACGTATTTAAATTAAAGATTTAATTCTACAAAACGGCATATTCTAACTGAGGAAAAGGTTAGAACATCTCACATTTTTTCACACTTAAAATGGCTCAAATCACAGACAGATGTACCACAACAGATGCACGTTATTAGTAAATCGTTACTCAGCATTTTGAATGACGCTTGCCATTTCTAAACCTCTGAAATTTATTTTGATGTGCTCCTGACTGTTGAAGTAAAAGTGAGCACCAAGGTTAGAGCAAAAGAGCTGTCTGAGCTGTCTTAGTCGTCGCAGCAAGTTTACACTCAAGATGCTAAAAGAGGTCTCTAAAAACCCTAAAATGTCTTCACGGGACCTACAGCAGGCTCTGGCTACTGTTGATGTGAAAGTGAATGCTTCTATAATCAGAAAGAGACTGCACAAGTTTAACTTACATGGGAGGTGTTCAAGAATAAAACCTTTGCTTTCTAAGACAAACATCAACGCCAGACTGAAGTTTGCCAGATAGAATAATGACAAAGACCAGGGCTTCTGGAATAATGTTCTTTGGACAGATGAGTCCAAAATTTACATTTTTTCAGCTAAAATTGTTTAATCACATTACCTTAATCTTTTTAAAATTGAGATTAAACAACCATATATTAAAAACCTTACAAAAACCCAGGGTTTCATAGGATGTCCTAATTTTTTCACGACTGTAAGTTAATTAATGTTAATTAATGTTAAAAAGCACAATGTTAGATTTTGATAATGCATTAGCAGTGTTGAAATATGATTAGTTAATGCTTTACAAGATTATTCATAGTTTGTTAATGTTAGTATATGCATTAACTAATTGACCAAGTGTTACCTGATCCAAGTTCTTATTGCTAACACTAAATGTTTCAAACATGATCTGAATGGTGAATTGGAAGCACCTCCACTAATTATTATGTTACTTTTTGTAAAGGATAACCTCCAGAAGTTTGTGCCCAGCCTGGGGGGCCAGATGATGGATGTTGGTGGACGCCTGATTGGTGGACAGATGGCTGGGCATGCTGGTGGGGTCGGCCAAGCACCCGTGCCTCCTCCTAAACCCGGAAGCTTTGGCAAGGGAGCCGGGGGTGGGCTGCTGGCTGGTGGACTCGCTGGAGGACCTGGAGGTGTTGGAGGTGTTGGAGTGTCAGGAGGAGGAGTAGGGGGAAAGGATGGTCTGTCAGTAGATATCTCACTGAGTAAGTATAGAGAAAAGTTAGAGACTTTTTTTTACACTAGCCAGATCACGCATATTTGAAACTAATAGTAATAAAAAGCATAGTTAATTAAAAGTATGAAATGCCTATCATAGTACTAGGAAAGCTTAGACAGGTGACGCGGTGAAACAGTAGGTAGTGCTGTCGCCTCACAGCAAGAAGGTCGCTGGTTCGAGCCTGGGCGGGGTCAGTTGGCGTTTCTGTTTGGAGTTTGGATGTTCTCCCCATGTTCACGTGGGTTTCCTCCGGGTGCTTTGGTTTCCCCCACAGTCAAAAGACTTGCAGTAAGTGAATTGGGTAGGCTAAATTGTCCGTAGTGTATGTGTGTGTATGTGTGTGAATGAGTGTGTATGGATGTTTCCCAAAGATGGTTTGCAACTGGAAGGGCATCTGCTGCGTAAAACATATGCTGGATAAGTTGCCGATTCATTACACTGTGGCGACCCTAGATTAATAACAGGACTAAGCCAAAAAGAAAATAAATGAATGAATGAACTTAGTCAACTTGAAACAGAAATCGAAAATACAGTAGTCAACATTTGAAGTGAATCAAGAATGTTTTTCAAAATTGTCCTAGGACAATAATGGATGTTGTTCAACAGTTTTAGGACAACTTTGATGAAAGTTGAGGATCTACTTCAAATGTTGACTACAATAGTTTTTCTTCCATATTGTTTTATAATAATTATTGATTCATTCATTTTCGGTCGGGGAGAACATGCAAACTCCACACAGAAACACCAACTGACCCAGCCGGGGCTCAAACCAACGACTTTCTTGCTATGAGTTGATTGTGCTACCCACTGGGCCACTATGCTGCCCTTTATAATAATTACTATAACATTAAATTAAATGTTTTAATTTTATGGTGACTTTAAATAATATTTCCTTCGGCTTAGTCCCTTTATTAATCTGGCCACAGCGGATGCCCTTCCAGCTGCAACCCATAACTGGGAAATACCCATACACTTACATTCACACTACGGCCAATTTTTAGCTAAATCAATTCACCTATGTCTTTGGACTGTGGGGCAAACCGGAGCACCCAGAGGAAACTCACGGCAACACAGAAATGCCAGCTGACCTAGCCGGGGCTTGAACCAGCTGTGAGGCGACAGTGCTAACCACTAAGCCACTATGTCACCCCAAACTAAAGAATAAGTAAAACTTAAAAAAGTAAACATAAAAGATTATGCTCACTAAATTTTTCAGAGTGGAAACAAATAAGCTATAGTAAACAGCATGACGTGTTATATAATATTTCAAATAGCATGCACAAATGATAAAAAACACTTGACAAAATTACTCAAAATTAACCTTTGATAAAGATATAAAAATTAAATCTACTTTAAAATACAATTAAAACTATGAATACAAACATTTGCCTTGAAATACCTAATTTTATTTACCCATTCAAACATCAAACCCTTTTTTACTCAGACATTTTTTTATACATTGAAAACCACTTGGCTTCAGTGCTACACTGTAAAACCAAAAAGGTTAATGTAACTTAAACCATTTGAGGAAACCGATTGCAACAAACTAATCCTAAAAACTAATCCTAATGAGTACTGTGAACTTAATCCTTTTGAGTAAACGAAGCAATTTGAGCACAGTAAAACCCAATAAATGAAGAGAACTCAAACCAACTGAGTACTGTAAAACCCAATGAGTTAAGGCAACTCAAACCGTTTGAGGAAACCGATTGCTACAAGCCATTTGAGTAAAAAAAAATCTATTTGAGTACTGTGAACTTACTCCATTTAAGTTGAAGTAAGGTTAAGTTTTAACGTATTACCTTCAACACTGAGTTCAGAACTAATTTCAAATGAGTAGAATTAACTTTCAGTAAATTTTAAGTTAACTACACCCATTTCATTTGATTAAGTTAACTGCTGGTTTTACAGTGTATTGATGTTTATTGTATTGTTTGTAGGAACAACATAAGAGTGAGTAAATGATGAAATTTGAATATTTTGAGAACTGTTTGACAATTTCACTGCTCTATCTACTTTTTAATCGGTTTATATTTCTCAGCTGGTGATCAAAGTTCTAAGGCTGCTTTGGACAAGGCTAAAAAGAGTGCTGAATATGTGAAAACATACATTTCCCCTTGGGAACGAGCTATGAAGGGCAACGAAGACCTTCTAGCCACAATGAAGGCTCAAATGCCATCACCCTGCACTTTCATGGAGCTGCGGAAATACAAGAGCTTCAACAGGTGCATTTCACAATCTACCTTTTCCTCTGCATATTGCATTGCACAGTCCAATAGTCTGTTTTTTTTTTCCCTTGAATTGCCCAATCTCTCAATCTGTCCAGGAGTGCCATGCCTTTCGGTGGATTTGAGAAGGCGTCCCAGCTGATGACCTTCCAGCTGCCAGACATCGAGGTGGCCACCGAGGAGCCCGAGCCTGCAGTGGTTTACCAGCATGACATCAACTCAAGACCCTCCTTTAATCGTACACCTATTGGCTGGGGTGGCAGCGCTGAACCAGGCAGCATTCACATGGAGCTGGAAACTATACCATTTGATGGGGAGACTGACGATCTGTGAGCTTACAATCCTATATAAACTAATATGCCTGTCCTAATTACCCTGCATCTGTCCTTATAACCCTCATATGCACACATAGTCACAATGCAGCATCCTGTAGGTCCATCAGGAGGACATATAAAATGTGAATTGTACACTTAATCTAAACCTGTACGTGAGCCTAAAATAAAGAAATTCTTATGTTTTTGTGTAGGTATCTTGTGCATAAAGCATATCAGCCTAAATTAGCATGTCAGGTGGAGACTGATGTTTTGGTTCTCTTGTTATTTTGTCAGCGTGTTGCACTTTAGAAGTGAACAAATGAGCTTGATGTGCCTTAGGCAACAATGTCCAGTTAGCACTATAGCACTGATGGACTGCTTGGCACACTGCTGTTTTCAGTCACTTAGATACAGGTAAACAGTTCTGAGAGCATAATCTGCAACCTCCCTTTAAAACAGCCTATCGTCACACTTTACCACTCATTATAGTGTCATTTACATGCGTAAATACTAATTATAGTCATGGCCATCTTGCACTTATTATAATTGTGTTGTGGAACACATCAAACAGTTGCTCTTGCTATAGTAAATTACTGTTGTTAAATTATGCACATAAATATATTCATTATATCCATGTCATCATAAACATTTATGAACATCATCAAACGTAGGGTGATCAAATAAAATCTCTAATCTCTGTCTCCAAGCTAAGCTGCTACATGCCCATTCTTTAATAAATGATCGATTGCGTATATTTTTGTTCATGGTCTTTTGTGGATTTACTGTGTTTTGGGGTCTATAATTAAATTGGTAGGGAGAAAGTGGGTCATACTGTAAGTGTATTTGCAGGAATTTTATAGCACGAATACTAACTACAGCCAGCAGGTTGTGTGCAATATTTCATAAGGACTTTCATCAGAATCTGAATCTGCTTTCTTGCCAAGTGTACCTGCACACACAAGGAATTCTTCTTGGTAATGAATGTTGATGCAAATAAATATACAAGATGAAATAAAAATGAGCAATAAAAATTAACAGTATAAAACAGTATGAAATTGTTTTTTTTTAAACAGCATTTAAAAATGTTTACTTAATACATATTTAAAGTATATATAATAATCAACTCATTTTTTCAGATATCACATAACTCTGGTTATTGAATACTTAAAATGAATTCTCATAAATTAAATATAAAACCCCAAAATAAACCAAAATACGAGCTCTCAGTGTGATTTTGTTTGGGCAAAGTACCAGTGTCAACTATGAAATTACCTTCCTGTTAATTTTCAATGCTGTCATTTCCAGCCACGAACAAAACAAGTATGACAAATTTTTTCAGGACCATTTTTGTCAGATGTTGCAAGGTTTTCTTTACTCTTAAAAATAAAGGTGACAGGAAGAACCAAAGAATGTGGTACAATGAGGCGCAACCCCAAATCAGAAAAGCAAGTGTATGGAAAATACAAATAAAAAAAGAAAGTAGTTATTTCCAAATTACTTTGAATTGTATTTCATTGCAGACAATATGAACACAAAATTATTCATGTTTTGTTTGGTCAACTTCATTTCATTTGTAAATATACATCCTTTCTGGTCATTCAGACCTGCAACGCATTCCAAAAAAGTTGTTGGAGGAGCAGTTTAAGGCTAGTAATCAGGTAAATTGTTTACATAATTATATGATTTAAAACAGTTGATGTCAACAGGTGATTGTAATTATGGTTTGGTAAAAAAGCAGCATCCAAAAAGGTCTAGTCCTCTCTAGGAGAAAAGATGGGCAGAGGATCACCAGTTTGCCAACAAATATGTGAGAAGATTATTGAAATGTTTAAAAACAATGTTCCTTGAAAGATAAAAAGACATTTGGATATTTTACCTTCAACAGTACATAATATTATTAAAAGATCCAAGGAATCTGGAGGAATGTCAGTGCGTAAAGGACAAGGGCAAAAGCCTTCTTTAATTCCCTGCATCAAGAACCGTCATTTGTTCATCGTTACATCCACAAATGCCAGTTCAAACTATACTGTACCAAAAGGAAGCCCTATGTTAACAGTGTCCAGAATCACTGTCGACTTGTCTGGGCTCTAAAGCATCTGGGATGGACTATCACACAGTGGAAACATGTACTGTGGTAAGATTAATTAGTATTTCAGGTCATTTTTGGGAGACATGAATGCTGTCTGGATCGAATAAGAAAAGGATCAATTAGACAGTTACCAGCAACATGTCCAAAAGCCAGGGTCTGTCATGGCATGGGGTTGTGTCAGTGTCACTTTTGTGATTACATCATTAATGGAGCACAATATGCTGCTTTCTTTTCTAAGGACCCCAATGCATATTGCAACAATACAATGCAAAACCACATTCGTCACACATTACAAAGTCCTGGCTACAGAGGAAGAGGATTCAGGTACTTGACTGGCCTGTCTGCAGTCCCGACCTGTCAATAGAGAATGTGTGGTGAATTTTGAAGCACAAAATGTGACAACGAAGACCCTGTACTGTAGACTTTAAGACTTGTTTGCAGAAAAAATGGGACAAAATTATACCTGAAACACCTCATCACTTGGTGTCTCCAGCCCCTAAATGTCTTTTTAAGAGTTGTGAAAAAAATGGCAAAAATTGGTAAATGCTTTACTGTTACAACTTTTTTTTTAAATGTGTTGCAGGAACAAAAATTTAAATGTATGTGATTATTTTGGGAGAAAAAACAAAAAAATCTTGAACTCATGAAATAATGTTTGTTGTATTGCCTGCAATGATACAAGTTAGAGTAAATTCAGAAATCCCTCCTTTCTTTTTTTTATTTTTTATTTGCGTTTACCACACTGTGCAAACTTTTTTTTTCTTATTTAGGGTTGTAGAAACTTTTTGATTCCCAGAAGAACCTTTAAATGGAATGTTCTTCAGAGAACCATTTTTCGGGGTAAGAATATTTGAATAATATGAAGAACCATTTTTCACTTTAAAGAGCCTTATGTGGAATGAAAATATTGCAGAAATAATAAAGGTTCTTCACTGAATAATCAATGCCAATAAAGATTCTTTACTTCTAAGGGTGTTACAAAGTAATAAGAATGTTTTTATTTGATTTATATAAAAAGTGTGCGGGGAAAAAAGTCATCGGGGTCCTGTCTGCAAACATTTATATTAGTAGCCTATTTTCTTATGATTTTTCACATAAGTAAATGTTTTTCAGAATTTGACAACATACTTTTTGAGAGAGTTAAATGTAATAATGACAGCATTAATATATATTTGTAAATGGACCCGTTAAAGAAGACCTTATGATTTTAGATTCCCATCCCCTTTCTGAACCAAATCCAAATCGCACTTCGTTGACACCTGAGACGCCAAGCATCGCGAGAGTTGGTTGCCTTGGCTGCAGCACACAGTGACGCTGAGGGATGTTTAAGGTTTAGCTTCAGAAAATAAGAGATTTTCCCTGCCCACCAGCCAGGAGGAGGATGCACTCTACAAGGTAAGCAAACCACATTTCACCATTTTATCGAAGCGAGCAATGTCGGCTCCTCCGAGGCGAAAAAGCCTGGAGAAGACGTTTCGCTGTCTGAGTTGGGAAGTTAAGACGTAGCTGCTCTTCCACAGGCATGTGCTGATCTAGTAAACAAACAGAGGGATGCATCACTGTCAGAACGGGATGCGTTCAGTCGTTTACGCAGCACGGCGTATTTCGGACTGCCCTTTCTTCATTTACTGCGCTTCTCCGAGAGGGTTGTGTTGTAATCTAGGCATATGCGAAGGAGACGCGACATCTCACAAGCTGTAATGTGCTGACGAAGCTGTGCACACTATACGCTGTGGCAAACACAACGCTGCGCATCTAGAAGTTCGCCACGTAGTAGAATAAACCACATGGCTGAGGCTCGATGCATGCGTCAGTTCTGTCATATATGACAAAGCACGCATGCATTTAGGGTTTTTATTTTTGTGGCTATTTCATGCAGCCTGCACTGCAGGATAGAAAAGGGGTACGTCGTATATTTGATGGTGATTTATTCATGTCAACGTCTCGTGCGTATTAACTAACGCGTGCTTCTCACCATTTGCGGTGACGTATTGCTTTCTCATCTTTTCAATATACTTGATTGTCCTCTAGCCGCCAATGTCATCTGGTGGCGTTTCAGGGGCTTTGCAGGTTAGAAGCGCAGAGAGTGATGTGTGGGTCATTCAGGTGTTCTTTAGTGTCTGTCTGTCTGTCATAAAGATAGATGCACTTTCAGAAATAAAGCTGCCTCTGGGGTTGGATCTTTTCAAAAGGTACATGCTAGTACACAAAGGATCCATATTGATACCATAAAGGAACATTAGAACCTAAAGTGTACATATTTATTTATTCTTTAAAAGTACAAAAGTGTATCGTTTGAAAAAGTACCACCTCAGTGATATGTTTTTTTCCCTGAGATTTATTTATAAAGATTTAGAAATCTTCAAGAACTATTATATGTCAAATAAATAAATAGCTTTTTTGTCTTGGAGATATCTTTAATATGTAAGGCATGTTTAAAATTAAGACATCTTTAAACTCTTAGTCAAATTAATAAAATAAATAAATAAAGTAAGACTAGCTAAATGCATTAGTTTTTAAAGAAATAAAGTGGAGTTTATTAAAAATTTAATCCTGTTTGTAAAAGTTTCCAAATTGTTATTGATGGCATGATTTTAGGTAATTTGACATGGTTTGGATTACTTAAATTTATCTGAATTAAAATGCAGTCCATAAAGATTTAAATAAATAATGATGTTAATAAAAGGTTTGAAAAAAGTAAAACAGTATTTGCAGTGTGTGTTGTGGGATCGATCTATCTATCTATCTGTCTGTCTGTCTGTCTGTCTGTCTGTCTGTCTGTCTGTCTACAAAGTACTTCATTTTAGTTTGGTCTAAAGACATATTGAGATCTGTTTATTTCTGTCAGTGAAAATGTCAAGATCATAAATTCATAATAGCATTCATAAACCGAGTTGTTTTTCTTTCTAAAATAAACAGAGTGATTGGATCTTAATGAGATGGATCACTGATGTGTGCAAAAAAATCAGTTTTCAGTGTGACGGTGTGTTACATAAACAAGGTGACCCCATGTCTATTAATACAGGGAAAAGGAATGATCAAAATAGACACCCCTCCATCCAAACCTTCTCTTTATGCTGTCTCGTCACCCCCTCTTTAACAATCGCTCTGTGAAAAGTAAATAAGAGCCCTGGCATGCATGCGAAAGAAGGCTACTGATTGTTATGTAAAATTTAGAAATGAATAAATTAACATACTGATGGTCAGTCCTCGCGGGCCTGCGCTCTGCTGTATTCATCAGCAGACAGAGCCTTCGCTCGGGCTAATTGGTTGGGGGGTGTATGGGATTCCTGTAAATTTCACAACATGCTTTTAAGGGCTTACGATAGGAAGGGACAGAAAAGCCCTTGAGGGTAACTTTTATTAAACTTCTCAAGGTAGAGGAGCATTTGAGCTGAGAGGGTGACATTCATGTGTAAATCAAAACTCTGTCTTCATTTGATATGAGCCAAGGTCTTTTCCTTGTGAGAGCAGTTTTCCTGCTTAGCAGATTCTCCAGTTTAGAGTCTGGCTGCAGAAATGCACTCTCAGCTCACATGCGCTGCTCTTTGGGTGATGTTGAATGCACTCTTTGGAGAAGACACACAAACAAGCTGTAGTTTGTCAATGCTGAACACAATAGAACAGCAGATTGCCGTTTAAATGCATAAAGCTTCTCCTGCTTTGTAGTCTCTTATAGGGCTGGGGAATAAAACGGTATGGTTATTTATTGACGGATGGTACACCCTTGTCAATATCAATAAAAAAAAACAGTTTGGCATGTGCAATATGTATTTGAACAATGATGGCTTGTTCCTTTAATTGAAAGCTCAGATTTGATTATCATAATTTGTATTGTGGCATTTCTGTGTGGAGTTTGCATGTTCTCCCTGTGCTCCGTTGGGTTTCCTCCAGGTGCTCCGGTTTCCCTACGAGTCCAAAGACATGTGGTATAGGTGAATTGGGCATGCTAAAATTGACCGCATGTGTGAGTGAGTTTTTATGGATGTTTCCCAGTGATGGGTTGCAGCTGGAGGGGGATCCGCTGTGTAAAACATGTGCTGGATAGGTAGGCGGTTCATTGCGCTGTGGCGACCCCAGATTAATAAAGGGACTAAGCTGAAATAAAATGAATAAATGAATTTGTTTTGTTTGCAGGGTTTGAGGCTTACTGTTTTATTATTATTGATGCCTTACAGATGTTGATCTACCTTAAAGTTTGCATTCCATTGCACACTCTTTGTAATGTTTTATGTATCTCTAAGTAAAGAGTCTCTTTTACACTTATGTTAATTTTATTATAAACATAAAAACAATATACATTTGTTTAGTTTTTTTTGGGACTATTAAAACAATTTGTCGTAGTAATGTTGGTTAAATAAAAAATAAAAAAATTACTGGACCTTATTTCTAAATGGATTGTTTAAAATTATTCATTATCATACAATAATGAATGATATGAAAAGTAAGATAATTTATGATAATAATTTATCATTTGTGCTTATTTATTTTGCTATATTGTCCAGCCCTAGTCAAGTACATATTAAATGAAACTAATAATTATTCTTTTAATGAAATGAATGAAATTAAATGTACTTTATTGTTCCGGATGGGGAAATTTGTTATGGACTCAATAGGTAGTATTTCAAAAAATTACATATCGACTAATCATACACATATATAAATGCCTAAAATGTATAACTTGTGTAAGAATATTCTTAAAGGTAAAGCATGTTTTAATAGAATTTATATTTTTAAATAATATTATAGAATGTTTTGATAAAAAAACAACTTTTGTAAGCTGTTTGGACAGAACTGTCTGTATGTGTTCCCCTTATTCCCCTTGCACAAGCAGGTGCAGCCATGTGAATCTATTTGGCTCGAGACTTCCAGTCTCATTCACTTCCATTTATTTTTAGATGTTAAAAACGGATCTCTTTGTTGCTTGATGTTGCAAACTGATATTGAATTATTATATTATTGTATTTTGTCTGTGAAGTCATGCAAACACTTGTTTGTTGAACAAGTAATTTGACCATTTTCTGTCGTTCATTATTCCTAGTCATTTTTCCCATAGGCAACTGAATCGAAAATTCCAAAACATGAGCGCATCACTTCGGCATTGAATAATAAGGTCAACAGTGTGTCCGCAGTCATATTGGAGTGATATAAACACAACAAGGGGCAGCACGGGGATGCAGTGGGTAGCACAATCACCTCACAGCAAGAAGGTTGCTGGTTCCAGCCTCGGCTGAGTCAGTTGGCATTTCTGTGTGAAGTTTGCATGTTCTCCCCGTGTTTGAGTTTGTTTCCTCTGGGTGCTCCGGTTTCCCCCACAGTCCAAAGACATGCAGTACAGGTGAATTAGATAAGCTAAATTTTCCATAGTGTATGAGCGTGAATGAGTGTGTATGGATGTTTCCCAGTGATGGGTTGCAGCTGGAAGGGCATCCGCAGCAAAAAACATACGCTGGATATGTTGGCGGTTCATTCTGCTGTGGCAAACCCAGATTAATAAAGGGCCTAAGACAAAAAGATTATGAATGAATGAATGAATGAAACAAGTCTCTTCCTAAATTTGTTGACGTTAAAATAGGACCCAAATCCCAGTTATTGAGGCCTACAGCAACGTGACATAAGAGTGCAGTTTTCCCCACCCATTAAATTGTTTGACAGGTGCCATGTTTCTATGATAACATGTATACACGTCTACACGTCTTTTTTTTTTTGCAAATAAACTGGGATATCTGTTCCAACTCTCTATGATTTTTATATGTTTTATTAGTTTAAAACATTTTTAAATTTTAACAGCTATAATCACCACGGCTGCATGCTGTCAGTTAATGCTTATATGTATGTGTGGGTATGTACTGCAAATGGCATTTGTGTGTGACTCATCATTTCAGAAAGGCTTGAATAAACTCCACCACAATTACATGAAATAAACCTACCTGGTATTTTTTTTACTAAGGAGCTGTATTTCAGCTTTATCCAAGTCTGTCTCTGTCACTGTGCTGTTTATCTGTTATAAAGCATGATGATGAGCAGACAACCACATGGGAACGGGTGGTGGGGAGAAGCAGCTCATTTGCATTTAAAGACACAGGCTACAAAAACAACTACATTGTATTTAGACACCAGACACCATCTGATGGGTATTTTAAGCTGAAACTTTACAGACACATTCTGAAGACACCAAAGGCTTACAGTATATTACATCTTGTAAAAGGGGTAAAATAGGTGCCGCTTATGGAAAATTTTTCAAAAGGTGATCATATAAGACCTTTTATCATTTGTGTTGTTTTTGATTAATGCTTATTTAGTAAGAAACTGTTATGATTTTAAATTATATAATGAATATTTATCAGTAATGTTACCATGAATATAGCCAATGCTGCTGCTATTTTAAAAAACAA